TTTAAAATAACCCTGATAAACACAGGATTTGTGACATGACAATTTTTGGGCGTATCTGATGTATTTTAAGACCCTTAAATCGAATCTATCACCCACAGATATTCGGTATCATTTACTTTTATGACTTACAATACGTAATATCTCACATTGCTGTATTTCTCGGCGTTTATGCGATGACGCACGCATATGGTGTTAAGACCTGTCTATTCCTGTTTATTATATGCGAGCTCTATGTTTAGAGAGCATATTGTGTTTATTAGTAGACTAATAGCAGCCGAGTCAGTTACGTTTTTTGTGTTGAAGAGTACTGAGATGTTCTGAGTAATGTTAATTTTTGTTAAAAGGGGTGTGTTGTTTTTAGTTTATTGTGATCGAGACTAGCTTTATGGACAATGCCTAGAAATTGTGTAAATAGTGCGAACAGTTTTTGTTATGTGTGCGGAGAGCTAACTTTTAAATCCCAAAAATATACTTTTACTCCCCTTGTGTTGAAAGCATACGGACTTTTTGGAATTAAAGTTCGCGACCAAGATAAAATGTGGGCCCCTCATATATGTTGTAAGACTTGTGTAACGTTGTTAACAGGTTGGTTAAGAGGCGACAATCGTAAAATGCCCTTTGCGGTACCAATGGCTTGGAGAGAATCGAGAAACCATACTACTCATTGCTATTTTTGCCTTACAAATATTAAAGGTATTGGACCATACTAAGTATTTTAATTTACCATCAGCTTTGCGGCCCTTTAAGTATAGTGATGAACTTTCTGTCCCAGTTCCACCAGAATCTTGGTCTTTGGATGAAAAAGTCGAATCCACCGATTCTGAAAGTGATGGTACAGAAAAAAAATCCGATCCTTCGTTTGATCTGCTAGGATGTTCAATAGCGCCGCATTTGATGACACAGGGCGAACTTAATGATTTAGTTCGAGAATTAAATATGTCAAAATCCCAGTCAGAACTTTCAGCGTCAAGATCAAAAGGATGGAATCTTCTCCACGGTGTTGTTAACATTACTACTTACCGAAAACGGCAACAATACCTCACAAACTGTTTCCGTCAGGAAAGGGAGTTGATATATTGCTTCGATGTCAACAATTTGTTTGTCGCGTTACGACAGAAACATGATCCAAATGATTGGCGCCTGTTCATTGATTCCTCTAAGCTTAGTTTAAAAGCGGTATTGGTACATAACGGTAATAACAATCCATCTGTACCTATAGCGCACGCAGTTCATATGAAAATATGCGAGTTCTGTTAGAGCATATCCGTTATAATGAATATGGATATATGCCATATGTGCAGATTTACAGGTAATAACCATTCTTCTTAGAATGCAGCTGGGATATACCAAATATACATACACAAAAACATTGCTGGTCCCAAAAACGTGTTGCTTCCACCTTTCCATATTAAGTTGGGCCTGATGAAAAATTTTGTGAAAGCTGTGGATCGAAACGGAAGAGGGTTTCTGCATTTAAAGCAAACATTTCCGAGACTTAGTGAGGCAAAAATTGAAGAGGGCATATTTGTGGGTCCACAAATACGGAAAATCATAAAGGATGATGTATTTGACAGTGCTCTAAATGAAATTGAATTACGAGCTTGGAATGCTTTTAAATCAGTTACTGCAAACTTTGTAGGTAATGTGAAGGCGGACAATTATAAAGATATTGTGAGTGAACTAATTAATGCTTATAAAGAAATGGGATGTAACATGTCTCTAAAAATTCACTTTTTGGATTGTCATCTCGATTTTTTTCCGGAAAATTTAGGTGCGGTAAGTGATGAACATGGTGAACGGTTCCACCAAGACATGTCTGCCATGGAAAAACGGTATCAAGGCAAATGGAGTGTCAATTGGCTTGCTGATTACACTGGACAACAAATTTTAGTCTTTTAATTGTATCTTGTGGGAAAAGTTCACTTCTTTGTTAATTTTGGGGCGCTGAATCCAAAAATGACAATTAAATAAAAAAATTAGTTGCGGTTTAGAAAAAAAACTTTTTATTTTTAAGGATATATTAAAAAAAGTAACAAGATTCATATACTCATAAGAATCACTATATGCGATGTCTTTTTGCTGTTCTTTTATGGATCGTTTCTGGAGCATCTCTACCAAGAGTCCAACAGTAGTCTGCAAGCATGAAAGGATTCCACTTTCCCTGGTACCTTTTTTCCATTGTTGAAATATCCTGATGAAAACGTTTGCCGTGCTCATCACTTACGGCTCTGCAACTGTCAGGAAAAAAGTCCAGGTGTGAGTGTAGGAAATGTATCTTAAGAGACATATTACAGCCCATCTTTTGATACGATGACAGCATATTTTTGACAAGGGTTGTATCGTTGTCAGCTTTTCTATTTCCCAAGAAATTAGTGACCACCAGACGGAAATCATTCCAAGCAGTTTTTTCAATACCTGTTAAAGTGTATCCTACCTACCTTCTTTAACCTTTGCCTCACTTAGTCTTGGAAATTTCTGACGCAGGTGTTGAAAAGCTGACCCATCTCTATCTAATGCCTTGACAAAGTTTTTCATTAGGCCCAACTTGATATGTAGTGGTGGTAATAAATTTTTTTTCGAATCTACTAATGGCATATGCTGTACATTTTTTTGACCTGGCTCTAGGAATTGACGAACAGGCCAGTTTTGTCTGGTGTAATGAAGTGCCTTTGCCCGACTGTCCCATTCAGACAAAAAACAGCAAAACTTTGTGTAGTCTAGCTGCAGCTCAAGTAAAAGTGCAACAACTTTCAAATCGCCACAAATATGCCATTGGTGCTCATCGTATTTTATGCATGTCAATAGGTACTTCATATTGTCATATGATTCTTTCATGTGAACTGCATAACCTACAGGAAAAGATGGTAAAATATTTCCAATATGCAATAACACTGCCTTTAAACTCAATGTTGAACTGTCTATAAACAATCTCCATTCTTCTGGTTTATAGTTTATATTTAAAGCCGTCAGTAAGCCGTTAATGTTACTGCAGAAAACCAAGTTATTCTCCATATTGAAAAATGGTTCTAAGTCTTTGTAGCGTTTACGAGAAACACATACCGACATTGTCTTCTAACAAGTTCCACTGCTGCAGTCTTGATCCAAGTAACTCTGCCTTAAATTTTGGTTCTAAATCTCTTACAAGATCATTTAATTCTGACTGTGTTATTTTGTGCGGTTTCTGGCATGACGTGCTCGGTATAAAATCAGGATCTCTTGACGTTGATGGCATATCTTCTTCCTGACGAATCACTCGATCGCCATGATCTGATTCGTTTTCTGATTCGCAAGTGTAGAATTCTGGGGGTTTTGGAATAGGATTTTCGTCACTGTGAGGCACAGGTCTCATCGCAGATGGTATGTGTGGGTAGTTAATAACCGATTTTTTTTTCTTGGTACATACCTGTGGCTTGTCCAACACAAGGTACCATGCAAAAGTAACAATCATTAATATGATTTGTAGGCTCTCTCCAAACCATTGGGACAGCAAAGCGCATAGACCGTTTTTTGCCATTTAACCAGCTCCTCAGACTTGAAGCACATGTATTACAGCAAATGTGGGGTGCCCACTGTTTGTCTTGATCACCTAGTTTACAACCGAAATAAAGCTGATATGCCTTTGTTATTGTTATTAGTGGAGTACTAGACCGTCTCTGAGACGCAAAGTCACATCACCACAGACGTAACAAAACTGATCTGGATTGTTTACACACTTTTGAGACATCTTGCATGAACGTTGTCAGCCAACTGAGGAAAAAATGGCTAATATAAAACAATATAATGTACACGTATGTATAACGGAACACAATCATGCCGATTACATCATCTTTCCTTGCCGAATATAAAAATGTAGCACGTGCATCCTTGTGAATTACAGTATATTAACACTGTCACAGCAGGAACACATATAATTACCGTATCTCTAAAACTTGAACTAACATTGAAAAAACAAGTTTCATTCCGGTTTTAGCACATTAAAAATAGTAATATTTGGTTGCTTTTATTTAGGATATTTTTTGGCTGTTGATCAGTGTTATTGCAGTACATTGTCAACAGATACTTCAGGAGCAACATATCGCCGTAAAACATCGACAACAACATTCTGAGATTAATGTTTTTTCCAGTGTGTCTTAGTACTCTGACACACATATCCTTATATTTTACGAGTATAAGCAGCAAATAAAATGCCTTATTGCAAGAAAACACTGGGTGGTAGAAAAAAGCGAATGCTATTGCCGGCTTTTTGGGTACGTTTTACATGACAACCTCCTTGATTGGTCCATATCGCAAAAAATTATTTTAATTTTGCTCATCAGCGTAATAGGCGTATACCAAGCAAGATTGAGATACGTCTTGCATGCAAATTATTTCAAGTAACTGTCGGCATAAACTAAATCAAGCACGAATGATTTCAGAATTTAAGTATTTTGGCTCCAAAAAGCCAGCAATGGTACCAGCTTGGGTTCGAAGAACATAACGTGTTGAGTTAATTTTGATGTGTCTAGCTAACTTCATTCATTTGCGTAGCACTTATTGCTTGAGCTGAATATTCTTTCAAAAATAATTAATATAACTCAACTTCTGTTAAAACCCAAGCACAAGTGTACACTTTTTTGGATATATTATGTTTATTGGTCATTGCCATTATTATTATTATAAAAACTGAGGCTAAAGGTGGAGGGTTAATAACGTCAGTTTTCGGCCTAAATTTAATTTGGAAGAAAATGTTTAAAATCAATTCCTGTAGTATCTACTAAAAAAACTAAGTCGATTCCATCCTAAACGGACCACAGGACAAGGCGTTCTGGTTGGATAGTAAAATCTGGCCAAAATATTCTGCTGTACATGAGACAATATAAAGCTTTTAGGAAGACCCATTCTTTGAAAAACTTTGATGCGTCGCAATGAAACGTTGCAATGAAGATAAACACTTTTTCAAATCTCGAATACCGTTTGACGATCTGTTGTTGCTAAACGCCTCTCTATGTATAAAAAAATTCTCACGAGAACCGACCAGTAAGTTCAATGTCACAAACTTTTCGCTGCCGCCCTTGATAACGAAAAAAAATTGTAATAATGAAAAAGCAAACAAAAGCAAATCTCACCTTCACCGGAGTCAGCGTCAGAAGCCCGCCTTTTGTTGCCCAATCTGAGCAAGCTGCTAACCGAGAACTGGCGGGAGTTGGCACAATAGTTCCTATTGTCGCCATTGTCGAAATCTTCAGAGATGTGTCCTTCGTACGTTGACGTGTACATTTTCCTCACCTCTTTATTCTTTTTCTGGTAGTGGTGGTCTGTTTGTTTTTCTGTCGCTAAGCAGAAGTCAGTTTCGTTGCATCATGAAGGTGAACCTGCAATACATTAGGTTGTAGTTAAATATGTTCAAAAGGGTCGAGTACAAAAAATATGTATCTGTTACGGGCAGACACGAAAAACTAGGCTATAATGTTTCATGACGATAACATCCACGCAAGCTGGGCGTTCTCCACGTTAATACTCGTATGCTTTGGGCAATGGGTTTTCGCGTACCCAGACCTTTAAGATAGCCGGGTATTTTCAATTCTAAATGAAACTTTATAATTATCCATCAGTTTGGTCCATTCAAATATACGAGCTCCTTCCCACTTCAGTTGGCCCATCTATTGAAATCTTAGTTTTTTTTCTTATCAAACACAAATAATAAAAATGTAGCAGGGTGTTATAGGTTTAAAATATTAACAATGAATATTTTGATAACATATAGTAGAAAACACCAACTTTATCACTCCCTAATCAAATTTGCAGCATAAAAATAACACATGTTGCAATTACAGCATATCAACCTATTTTCATTTCAATGCAAAATAAGTCTATAACGCATAGGTGGCTGTGAAAAATAAAAGCCATGACAATTGTTTTTATTAATCACAGCTGTCAGAATACGTTTAAAATAGTTTTGGGTAGTTAAGGTTTTCAAAATGGGTAGAGGAAAGGTTATTAGTGAGAAAATTCGGTTACTGATAATTAAATTTTTTAATTGTGGGAAATCAAACTCAAAAATTGCAACTTTGTTAGACTTACCGCGGTACCGACTGTCTGAAGAGAAAAGTGAAATTTCCAGCATCCATTAGGGTCTGGAGCAGTATGTCATCAAAAGGAGTAGGAAAACTTCATTTTATTAATGGAAATGTGGATACAAACAAATATTTGGCAATTTTAGAAGAATCGCTTTTACCAGTGATGGAAGAATGTTTGACATCCGGCCAAGATTTCGTGTTCCAGCAAGATGGTGCAGCGTGCCATATCTCAAAAAAGGCTATAAAATGGATGGAAGAAAATAATGTAGCACTTTTGAAATGGGTTTCTAGCAGTCCAGATCTGTCACCTATTGAGACTTTGTGGCACGAGATGAAAAAGGTTCTACGACAACATCCTGCTCGTACAATCACCGATCTGAGATAAAAGCTTCAAGAAATATGGGATTGTTTTACACCAAATTTTTGCCAAAACTTGGTTAACACTATGCCCCAAAGAATTTCAGCCGTAATAAAAAATAAAGGTGATGTTACCCAATGGTAATCTTTCAATTGTTGCTTTGTTAACTTCGCGCATTTATTCGCACATTGTTTATTTGTTCAGATGTTCTATTAGTTATAGGTCTAAGTGATTTCAAATATATATTTTTCACGACTAGAGTGTATCTAAAATGTTTTTGAGAAAATAAATTGTTTTAGAAGTAAATAGTTTCGTCATGTTTAGTGTATAAAGGCATATTTTGGTACAAATCTTGAAGTGGGCCAACTGAAGTGGGAAGGGGCTCGTATACATACAATAATAAACTCTATCATTAACATGGAATTGAACGTATTTGCGACATCCTGTTAATGTAGCTTGAAACAAGCAACATTTTCAAAAACTCTGAAACAGCGGTTATTCAAATGAAGTCTTTTTTTGTATGCAGAAATTGCAAGTCTGACGTCCAGCTGAGATACAGAAGACCAATTATAGAAATTTCGCACTGTAGAACTTAAAGCTTAAAAAATGGAAATTTTTGGGGTATCTGCAGTGTAGACGGAAGCTCGTGCTCTTACATTTTTTAAAATTCTTTCTTGTCTATGGTGAGATAATGCGGATCTTAAGTTCAAAGCAAGGGGTATAGTATGAAGTGACGTGCGATTACAGTAGTTCTTAGCGATACATGTGAGACATGTGTTATTTTCTAAACGCATAACAAAGGTAACACAAAGCATGTAACATATGCAGATTCAAGCTAGCGACTATCCAAAAATACCTGTTATGAATCCGCAGCATTTCAAGCAATTACTAGTTTACAAAGTTTAAACGTTTAAACATATTGATTTCAAAGTGCATGAAGTAAAGGAACATAGAGTGTTTTGTTGATGATCATAGTAATAAGTCAATTTCCACTACTATTTTTAAAACATTACCTTTGGTATCTAAATTGACCACATCATTAACACAAATATGAAAAAGAAGGAAACCGATTATTGTCGCTGTTCCGTATTTTTACAATTTGTTGTCTAATTTGGAATTATTTCCATAGATTAACCTTAACTGCGATCGTTTCATAATTTTTGCGGATACAACGCTTAAGTTTGTCAATTTTCTGAACGTACAAGTTAACATGGAACATGTCACACATATGCAAAATACAAACCAAGATAATCCAAAAATACCTGTTACAAATCCGCAACACCTCAAGCAATTACCACTGATGCAAACTAATGTCTTTTTCTCCTGGCCGCGATCAAAAGCACATCAATTAAGAACCGCAAAATTAAAATCAATGCCCGGGGTGTCACTGTTTTCACTAATCTCATTAAATCGCGGTGCCCGACGGACTAAAAACTCGGGATCAAGGCGGCTTAGCCAGGAAACCCGGGATGGGAGTGGCTCCCCACCACCCTCTACTGACTTAAGTCTGGAAAGGGGCGTGGCTTAAAGACAGCTTGTGAAAATTTAGAAGGCTAGTGCCATGGGCGTATTCAGCTCAAAGCGGAAGGGGTAAACTTAAAAAAAAATTTTTTAGAGACATTTTTAAATCTAGGAAGAATTTTACATTTTGTTAGAATTCTAGGACAAGATGACATGTGAGCATATATGAGAAAGATGAGACAAGTTCTTATGAATGTCCGGGTCTCCCTTGTGAAAACGCGGCTCCCCAAAGGACGTCACTAGAAATTGGTTTATGTTAAACAGCTTTTAAATCACAGTGCCCAAAGAAAATTTTGACACCATGGTAATTAATAAGTAAAATAGCAATTCAAAAATGATCTTTATGGAAAGCCTGATCCTTTAGATAAGGAGGCGAGCCGTCACACTTCAGCCGGTCCTCAAAAATTTCGAGAAAAATTAAAAATTTCCATCATTAGAATTCCGTATTTTCTAAATGGTGGAATCAGCATACTGGGTCCGTTAACAAAATTGGTAAAATGATACTGTAACTCACTGTATTGATGTTCTTCGTTATTTCCATTTTCCCTTCATTTTATTAGGGAAAATGGTTTTATTTGGTATCAATTCGCGAACAATTTCGAAAATGAGAATATTTTTTCTGGATTTTATATAGTATATAGGATATATTACGTCTAAAGATATTTCATCCCTCAAAATGCAAGTAATAGAAGAATGTTCAACAAAAACACTCAAGCGCCGTAGAAAATAATAGCCAGACAGCGAGAATAGCAAGAGATTCAAGGAATTATAGTATTAGTTCTGTATTTATGCCACGACTTTTCTAGCTCGCATATTTAGCCTCAGTATGCTTTGGAAATAATGCGGAACACATGACATCTTCTGGTCTTTATTGTAAGGTTGTACAATTTGAACCGTCGATCACATTAGTTTTACCAATCCACAAAAAAAGATACTCTGTACAATTTGGTTCCTCGAACTTGCAGGCGGGTGCCCCCCTTAATGCGCTCTCCCTCCGAATACGCCCCTGAAAAAGCTGAGAACCGCCTTCTTGGCTTAGATCCATGTCGGGATATATCGGTTTTGACTAATTCAATCATGAGGCAATTTATGAAAACGTAAATAAAAGTGAAGTTGGCTTTATGTTGATTTGGTTCAACGCTGAAAGTAATTCAATTATCCTGGAGACATCCATCAGACCGCAGTCGTTGGGATATCGGGGAATGGGAGATGACATTTATAATTTGCTGCAGATACGATTATAGATATAGTATAAAGTATTTTTGCGGGGGAATACGTTGCCAAATTTTTTAGTGCTTTTATTTCATGAAGGATGATTTTAAATTCACTTTTTTTTATTAATTTTTTGAAGTCGGTTTAATAGCAGGCTGAACAAGTTATACAGGGTGTAAACATTATGATAGTCATTATCTAAATGGGTGATATAGGGGGTTAAAAGAAGCAAACAGTTTCATATAACATGGGGGTCAAAACGGCATTTTTTTATAGATGGGACCGAATATTTGTCTACTAAAAAACTCAGTATTGTGATGCGAGAATTTTTACAATGAGTTTAATTCCTACAAGCAGTATCTCTTAAATACTCATTATACAGTTATCATAGGTCAATACAAAAATGTCGTCAAGTAGGTTGACTCTGCACTTCCCCCGCCACGTCATCATCAGTTCATAAAGATTTATGTTGAGTACAAGTTATAACCTGTCGATATAAGACAGCGCCATTGTCTTTATATCCTGGATAGAGGATAGTTGCTATGCAGGAAACAGCTGTTCACGGTTGGCTAACTTTGGTCCGACACTCGAAAGCAGCAAGCTTAAGTTAGATCCTCCGAGAAAAAAGTTAGTAAATAACAGGGAAATTAAACGGATGAAGTCCATCAAACATGTCTATACAATTAACTCATAAACATTCTTTCTCTGTCCACACGCAGCGCCAGTTATGCAAGGACGCTTGTGAAGACCGGCACTCCCACCGGTCAAGCCAGAGAGCAGAGCGGATCGAAAACATTTCTCTATCGCCTCAAGTCTTAAGGGCAGATGTACCGAGAAATCTATGATGTGGTGCATCAAAAAGATGCGACGTCTTACGATGGTACGCTCAGTTATCTGGGTTACCTAGTTAGCATTAGCCAATCTTCTTACTCTATGCCAAACCCGGATAAGATCTAGCTCTCATCTTTGAAGAAGTGCTACACCGATTTCAGTATATTAGATGCCATTTAGGGAACTAATGTGTAAAATTTCCTTTACCCACAATTTCAAATCTCTTTCTCACAATTGCTGATTTAGGAATCTGGCGATAGTGGGGAACGTAGTGTGTGGTAATATCTACACAAAGATATTGCAGTATATATCGTTTTATAAAAAAATGGCAGGCCTGGTTGTCTAAATTCTTCAATGGTTCATCATCGATGAGCGGTTGATGATCTTGCACTCTTCTACCTGATTCCTTCCTCTGTGAGATGAGACCATTTATCGGTCAAACTTGGATATTTAAGTAACCTTTTTGAACAGTTTGGCTCGTGTACGGAGAAGTCTTCTTTTTCACAAAAATAGGCGCAGAGTTCGAGTACCGAGAGAACTGTCAAAAAGTTAAGTTAGTATTGTTTAAACGAGTTTTCTTCTGGCCAAGGCTTATAAAACTACAGAGAGCCTTTCCTAGTAGATTCTCGATACTCTATGAACAAATTGATGATCATTTCAGCCTGGTTGCGATGCATAGAGTTTGAACAAGCCGAAAGGAGCTGCAGAGGTCTAGTAAGTTTGTCTAACACACTTAACACACAGTGATTTTAAAAAGTTCCCTTTTACTGATTTTTTGAACACTCCACGTTAGCAAGCTACAATCCAGGGGAATGCAATTTATGCATGAATACTATATATATATACCTTTTACTTTGATTAAACAGGAGCAGTTTCAGTGTTTCCCCTAAGAGAACTTAAAGCATGGGTCATTTTGTGTCTTGTGCAATAAGTCTGTGACGTTAACTCCAAAAAATCTGGGGCTAGGGACCCATTTATGTCATCCGTTTGTCCATCATTTGTCCAACAATTTATTTGGTTTGTCCACTAAAATATATCTTGGGGCTAACTTCACGCAGCCCCAACATTTTTGATAAATATTGAGCGAACGTTCAGTGGAAATGGAAAAAAAAGATCAGTCCACGCATCATCCATGCACTGCATTAATTAAAGAGAGCTTACAAATATATTTTCTTAAAAGAATTGAATATGAGGCTAACTGCACACTCTTGCAAAATCGGCGGAGGCACTTCATAAAGGATGAACATCATTGAATTCGTTTGTCCACCCATCGTAGACGTTTGTCCACCCTACAGACCTAAACAAAATTATTATCCGATGCTCCAGCCCCTTTTTTTAAGATACTACTATGGGGGCTAACTTTACACCTCTGCAGAAACGTCAGACACGCATAAACAAAGTCAATCGTCATTGCATTCATTTGTTCACTCCTCGTAGACGATAGTTCACCCCACGGATTTAAAAAAAAACATCCGATTCTGACAAACATTTTTGTGATGCTATTAGTGTAAAATTGGCAGCTGAAAATTTTAAGATGTGATACCAGCTATAGAAGCACCGTTGTCAGATGACAGTAACTGCCGGTAGGGTAAGAATGCATAGGGACTAATTGTATGGGCGTGTTTGATTGTCTTGGTCCGTTTAATTAATTTATTATATATGTTCATATCTGACTTTTTTCTCAGATGATTTAAATTGCGCTGAACTTAATCCTTTATGAACTGATGACAGCGTTGCGTGGGAAGTCAACCTACTTGATGCCATTTTTGTGACTCACTCTATGTTTTGGTAACTTATGAATGAGGATACTAGTCAATCGAATTTTTATCTGTCCGTTCCTTCCCTTCCAGGCGCAGTATATGAGGCGCGCAGGGACGTTTTGAAATATTATCCTTCCTCGCGAGCTTATATAATTTGCTCCAATCACTCGGTCGCTTTGTCTTCATCCTCACTGGCATGAATCTTCTTGTCCTCGGTTACAACGGCTCCAGCCTCACTATTTAACGCCACATACATATGTCGACGATGTCTATATTTACCATCATTAACACACTGCTACAACGCAGGATAAAATAAAAACTAAACCAGTTGATTTTCTTTTTTTTTCTTCTTCTCGCTTCGAATATTTCTTACTCCGTCAACATCTATATCTAGGATTTTCAGACTCGAGACCTTTTGCGCCAAAGGTGCATTTGACCATTTTCAAAATGATGGGATGAGAAACATAACCAAAATCAATATTTTAGTCCTCGATGATAAAAGAGGTGTATGGGAGTTATAATGCCTTACTAAGCGTAGAGCACCCAGCAGGATATCGGGAAAAAGGCGCCCAATAAATAGATAGGTCAAACAGAAATGTAGCATTCCAAGAAAGCTATTGTGTGTTATGATCAAGAAGCATTGACAATGAGTATTATGATATCAATAAATAAATATTCAAGGTAATAAACAAATACCTAAAACGCTTTCTTCGTTGAATTATCAAACATTTGTGAATTTAATTAAGCAGGAAAGATGGAGGCAGATCTTGTCCGTAAATAACTCGGAAGTTGCAGCAAACAATCTTAATATTAAAATTGATATGCTTATTAAAAGGTCAACCATGCAAAAACGGTATATTATAACGAGCATAGAAAACTTAAACCATGGATTACTGGTGGACTAATTTTAGCTATAAAGAAATGGGATAAATTGAAAAAACTCTTAAATAATAACAACTTATTGGATAGGGATACGTATGTAAATTACACAAACAAACTAAATAAAATAATTAATAAACAAAAATTTAACTATTATAAGGAACAAATCAATGAAAATCAACACGATTGTGAACAGATTTACAAAACTATTTTTGATGT